TTGAAACCGCCCACTCGATGGGCATCTGGGGATCCTATGGCTGCGGTCATGCCTGCTCCTGATACTGCATCCATCACTAAGAGAGTGCTGGCTATGCAGGCTAAGCTTCATCGTCATCGACCCCTTCAACAAACGACATGGCCATATAACCGTATCTGGTTCAAAAATAGCAGCCAACTACAGTTACTATACGGACCATGCATTATATTCCGGGGATTGGAGTGGAACCGTTCGTACGCATCTCCCTTTACCCGCTATGATGGCCCTAGGGTTCGTACCCATCTCACTTCAAACCACCCGTTCACACAAGCCTAAGTTGTCAGCGCCACCTTCCAAGGCTCACAAGACTGAGACTGCACCTTTTCAAAGTGACCTGTCATGTTCACTACCAGCCCAGGTGCGAATCGAAAAACTCTTGCTGCGTAAAACGGTAGGAGTCCTACTGTGCTTTGGGTGAATTGGTGACCTCACAGCTAAGATCACGGTAACCCTGGGGTTAGAACCCACCTCTTGGGATGGGTACAAACCATACTTGCAAGCGGACGCCGTCCGGGCGGTTCCGCACATGCGGCAGACCGCCTGACCGGACTCGTGCGGCGCACGAATGTGTGCCCGACGACCAGTTACGCCCCACCCAAAAAAAAAAAGAAAAAAAAAGGCCCTGTCCGGTCCGGTCCGGGTGTCTGGTCCGGGGGGAGGGTGCCGCACGCGGCAAATCAGACCGGACCGGACGCTCGTCCGGTCCGTCTGCTTGCAAGTATGGTACAAACTCATCAAGGAATGAATCTGCAGCACAAACTGCAGGGTGAGTTGTTGCCTGCCCACAGCATGTGGGAAACATCTAGCCCACCAGCGCTTTCTTTGGCAGCAGGGTGGATTTTATAGAGAGAGTCGCACTGCTTCATAAATACCAAACAAGAATTAATGTAAGACCTGGGCTACCAGAGTGGGCCGGGACCACTTGCCCAGGCAGGGCAAAAATAAAAAATATAATATATATGTATATATTTATTGTAATTTGAACTAATTTTTACTGGAAATCTACGCTACCAGAGTGGCCCAGGTCCACTTGCCCGACCGGGCCAAAAAATACAAAAATAAAAAAAAAATATAAAAAATGGTAATGTTTCTGCATAACATAGTCTTTTTTCGGATTTTTGGGTCTTTTTTTTTTTTTTTTTTTTTGGCTGGGACCTCCTCGAGTCCTTGCACAGGCGGTCCGCCCAGAATAGGGCGACCTAGGCGGCCCGGCTGGTAGCCTGGCTTTAAATTTGATAAAGACTTTCGATGTAACCCTGAGGGCAAAGTTGTTCTGCATAACATAGTTCTTTTAGGTTTTTTTTTTTTTTTGCTGGGACGTTCCCTGGTCCTTACACGGTCAGGCCGCCTGGGAAAACAGGGTGACTCGGGACGGCCGACTAATAGCCTAGTGTAAAACCTGCATTTATAAAAATGAAAAAAGATAAGATACCAAACTACCATATAGCAAAATTCCATCCAATGACAGCATGGCAGGGGAACCAGGGCACAACCATCTCTCTCTCTCTCTCTCTCTCTCTCTCTCTCTCTCTCTCTCTCTCTCTCTCTCTCTCTCTCTCTCTCTCATGTGCTTCTTTCTTCTCTCTTCATTTTTTCCTTTCTTTCTTTCTTCATTTTTTCGTTTCTTTCTTCCTTTTTTCTTTTTCTCTTTGTTCTTGTCTTCTCTCTTTCTCTCTCATGTGCTTCTTTCTTTCTTTCTTCATTTTTTCGTTTCTTTCTTCCTTTTTCTTTTTTTCTTTTTTTCTTTTTTTCTTTTCTCTCTCTCTCTCTCTCTCTCTCTCTCT